ACAAGCTGCAGGATCTGAAATTCGATATGGGCGACTATGTCTGCATGAAATTCCTAATCCTGTTGAATCCAAGTAAGGCCGTACAAGTCCCTGAGTGCAGATTGGCAACCTTCCTAAACCCCCAATTAATATTTATAGATGTACGGGGTATTGTCAACCGGAAGACCGTCTCCGAGGGACATGATAATGTGCAAGCAGCCTTGCTGGACTACACCCTCACCTGCTATCCGTCAGTCAATGTGAGTAGGGGATTCAGTTGTAATGTCTACGGTATCGTTTGAAGCGTTCTTATTTTCCTGCGTTGATTTGTAACAATTGGGATGGGAAGACTTCCGTATCCTGGCTTTATAAGAAACTAAGACTTCTTCTTTTTGGATTCTTGCAGGACAAGTTCAGTAGGCTGGTAAACATCTTACCGGAAATCCATGCCATGGCCGCCCGCGGCGAGGAGCACCTGTACACCAAGCACTGTGCCGGCAGTGCGCCCACCCAGACGCTGCTCATGGAGATGCTGCACGCCAAGCGCAAGGTGTAGAGGCCGGGGGAGCGTGACACGGAATACTTAATCATTTATGAGATGTAAATAACAAGGCGGGGTCCCGCCACGAGTCCCCACGGCAGCCGGGATATGGAAGGCGACGAGCGGAGGATACAGAATTCCGTATTATGAATATGGGAATGCATCATCACTACTACCACCAACACCACCAACTATCACACCTATACACACACACATGCACACATTTGTTGATTCAATGTTAATTATTATTACGTTTACGGTTAGGCCTAGTTTACGTTTAACTAATTAATTAATTTGTCTTAAATTAATTCGTGTTTTATTTGTAGTCCCCTGATAAAGCAATTTTTTAAAACACAACCTAAACGTATAAATGTAGATGTATGGATATAAATTTTAATAAGGCAAGGAGAACCAGAACCCCACTTTCTTTAGGCATTACAAACGAAGAAAACAAAAGAAGCATGAGAAATTTTATTTTTATATACCTATATGAATACGATACTTATGGATACAAATCTATATATATATATTTTTATGTAAATTGGCGTATGTTTAAGCGTCCTACAACTTTTTAATTAGAATTTGGTTTTACCATAGTTTTCAAATTATTTCTGTTCCACTAGCAGATCGATTATTTTATTTTTTGCGCCAAGTGTCTTGCATAGTATTTGCGTCTAATCTAATGGCAACAAAAAAACGGAAAATCCATACAAAGAAAATGAAAACAAAGCAAATTTAGGTGTTCACGGTATGAATGTATGTGTATATTATAATTGTAATTTCATCTAAGTGTAAGAAAACAATGCAAACAACTACCTACAACAAGATAATGAAGAGCAAGAAATTATATAAATTAATAAAGATCGAGTTAAAAACTATACAGTAAATATATACTTACATATATATTTAAATTTAGCAGTTTCAACTATTTGTAAATTTCAACCAAGATGTAATTGTTTCAATGTCAGCAACCAGAAAGTGTAAAGCTTATAATTAAAATACAAAATATATTTTGTGCAAGGAAAATTATAACTCAAAACCAATTATAAAAAATAAACAAATAAGCTATATAAACCTTTAAAACTAAAAGTAAAAGATGCTTAGTCATGAATTTGGGCAATGAGACGGAAAAGAAATCGAATTATAGAAAAAAAGAATATTGTAAAAATCAAAAATCGAAATAAACAAACCAAATAAACTATATTTAATGAAAATGGATTAACTTTCAGTTCGAATATTAAGTTACCTGGCATTCATCCTTTAATTTTTTAAGCTGTAATTTGGTTACTCGAGTATTTTTGGTGTTCCCAAAATATGTTCTTCATGCCGTGTGAACCTAATCATTGCCTTAATTCCTGCCTAGGCATTGCGCTTAAACAAAACGTACCTTATAAAATTAAACAAATATAAACTCCAGATTCAGTAAACAGAAACTAACTACACCACACATTTCAAATTTAAAGGCAGCGTGTATAAAATAAAACAAAAGTCGTTAAAAGATGTAAAAAATTGAAGGTAGCAGAAATGGCATGAAAATGGTAGAAAATTCTGGCAGATGCAAGATTGTAGGGGCAAAAATACAGAAACGAAGCACGACGACACATCTATATAGGTTTATATTATATATTTAGGTCTCTAGTTGGTATGTATAACTTCTGTATGTATTATAAAATGTAAAAAAGAAAACAAAAATATGGGTAATTAATGTAAAAGTTGACAAGATAGTGGATCAGTTATATTTAAAGATAAGTAAAGGGCAAGAAATGTTGACGTCTAACGTAACGCTGGCGGCATGTTGTTGAAAACACGTTAATAGAGGGGAAGAAAAGGAGGGATCGATATACACATACAAATATATAAATGTTTATTCAGGTATGAATGGCGTTAGGTATGTTTATTGTAAAATTGATTACGATGTGAACCTGTTATTGCAAATGAAAAGTGATTTTAACTATTAAGAAAATCTATATATATACTATAAACCCATAAAAATTAAAAAAAGGATCTAACAGTTATACATTAAATGATTAATATAAATGCAAGCAACACACACATTTTAAGTTTGAAAAACTGTTAAAAATGCAAAAAAAATCATTTAACTAGAAACAAAACTACCTAAAACTACAATGCATATTTGATCAATTGATTTAATATGCTTTATTATTATGTTAACATACAATTTCATCTCAGAGATGTTTCAAACATGCAACCAACAACAACAAAAGCAAAGTGAAATAAAAAGTAATTATAAAAACGAGTCGGTTGTCCATGTTTTTAGCTGTTTGCCCAAATCTTTATTCGATTATTGGTTCACAAACTTGCGTTTAATGAGTAAAATTGTATTGCGTCAATATTGAAAAGCATGGCGGGTCTTAAGACATGTTGAAGTTCTGCGTAAAGTCGTACTCGATGGTTGGTATGACGGTCTGAACGAATTTCAGGAATATGATCAAGTATAAATGCACTCCCAGCTGACCGCCGCCCTCCTCGACCGTCTGGATAATCTTCTTCATAATATCGGCGTGCGGCATGGGTGCACCGAGGCCATGTTGGGTCCTGGCAGGTGCGGGTGCGACTCCATGGTGACCGTTTTCTTGGCGTGATCCTGCGAGACATCCTCGTACATCTGCTCCACGGTCAGTGGCTTGCGCTGCTCATCATATCCCACCACCCAAAGGCGCGGCGTCTGATAGTACTTGTCATAGCTGATGTGCAGGTCGTAGGTGCGCGTGTGGAGCACTGAATCACCGCTGGCCTCCGCCCCAGATGCGGCTGCCACTGGGCTGGCCTTGTCATCCGTTCCGGTTTGCGAGTGGTGGTCGCCACCGCCGGGTCGACGAGCTCCAGCATGCCGCTCTCCTCAAAATCGTCCATGTCAATGCCTCGTCATCATCCTCGTCTTCGGCCTCGGCACCAGCGCCCGGGGCTGATTTGTCGCTATCTGGAGTGTGCATTTCATCCTGTAAGAGAAGGAAATTCTTGATAAGATTAAGATTTCTACAAATCGGTAAGATATAGGTATATATGGAGGGCGTTACAGGTTGAGACTGTTGCAGACATCTCAATCGTTCGAGATCCTCGACTGAATTCAATTGTAATTGTAATTATCATTTCTAAAATACCCTTTGGGTATATTTCAGAGCTCTTCGACCTGTCCTCACCTTTGTCTCCTCCATTGTCAATTCGCAGATCTTGTCTTCCAGCTGGGTAGTGCCGTCGTCGTTCAGCTGGTGGGTCTCGACCCACCCTCCATCGCCGGACTCCTCCTCCACCAGCGTCTCCTCGCCGACGTACTCCATCTGCTTGCAGCGGCGATAGCACGGCACATTGCGCGTTATCAGGAATTGCTTATCTAAGTGGGGCCCAATGATTTTAATGAGTAAATTGGCCAGTGATTAATGGCAAATCGCAGTACTTACCCTTGGGTAGGTAGGGTTTTGTTTTGGTCTCATCGCCCGCGGCCCACTGCCAGGTGGGACAGTGGTGCACCAAGTGATCTCCGGCGGCTACGAACTCCTCCGGAGTAAGAACGCCCGTCTCGCGGAATTTGGATTCCTGCAAGGGAGGGATGTATATAGAATTATTAACGTGGGTGTCCCAGAAGTATCTTTCAACCTTCAACGATTTTTTAAGCCTTAAGAGGTGTTTGCATATTTTTGGTATACATATATTGGTATTCCTGAAACCTCTAAGTTAGGATTACATTTAAGTTCTGAAAGCATTTACTCCTTAAACCAGTAGCTATTAAAATTCGGCAAAACCGTAGAATTTCTCAAAATAAACGAGACGAAAATGGTAAGTACAATTTGGGACACCCCTGTGCAATTAGTTTGGAGACAGTCTGGCGGTCAATCCATATGCCATCAGGGGAGGTCGTGGGATATGGGGGAATCAATAGTTGAGCGTAGGAAACCCTTATCTTTTCTAGATTTCTTTGTCACGAAGCTGCTCTCCATATATACACCCTTATTTCATTCGTATTTTTATACATATTTGATCGTTTTGATTGCCAGTTTTTCGTCTATTTGGCACTTTTTACCTTTAAAACGGGCGTTAGATACTCGGCCACATTGAGTGCCGTGCCTTTGACGGTGTTGAGAACACTTTGCATCTTGTTGCCCCGCTGAGTATTCGCACTAATCTAAACGCTTAAACTTAATAAACACAATTACGCTGCTCTCTCAATTGACTTGCACTTCCCAGCTAATTGTTTTTGTCTCGCGAGTCGCGACAACAACAGTGCAGTGCGGTCACACTAGGTCAATGTGGGTGGGCTTATCGATAGGTTTCAAAGCGGTATTTTGTGGACTATAGTATTATTTTTATATAAAAATATTAATTTTAACTTTTGCAAAAAGAAACTATTCAAAAATGTATAAAATTACGAAAAATGTATAAAACCCTGGATAAATAAGATAAACTAATAAAATTTTTTAAAGTATTTTTTTTGGTATATTCAGCAGCTCAGGTCACACTGGTCAGATTTGCGCACATTGTTTTAACGTTTTAACGCGACGAGATGGAGGAAAAGGTCCAGCCGAAATTCGTCTTACCGTCCCCTAAATTCGACAAGCCCAATGGAGCTAGTAAGGCCAACCATCTGTACCTGACCCCCAGTGGGATGACCCTGCTGCCGAGGGCCAAACAACCGCCGCCCATGTACGGCGCACGAGGATCAACAGTGCCTGCCAAGTATCTCGCCCAGGAAAACGTGAGTTATCTTATCTTTAACTGGCAATATTACCCCCTAATCCCTAGTTTAAAGCGCAGAGCAGTGCAGTCAGTGTGCCGGAGTCCCCACCGGTATACCACTCTCCTCCACGCCCGGAGTTCTGCCACACGTGTGGCATGGAGTTGGCCAATGCCCAGGACATGAGGCGCCATCTGGAGCAGCACGAGTCCTGTCCCGCTGATGACTGCGACTTTGCTGCTCTGCACAATATCCTGGAACGTCATATTGAAGCCAATCACATCACGGGTGCTTACAAAAAGGTCAAGAAGGTGTGGACAGAGGAGAATTGGCTGCTTGGAGGGCAGAAAGGAGGAAAAGGTTCGTGGACTTAGTACTTTATTTCTATTAAACCCTTAATCACCCATACACAACTTAGATTTCCCACTGCGACGAACGTTGAGCTGGCCAGATTGGCAAAGGAGCAGAGATTAAAGCGAGGAGAGCGTCTGGAGGCCTCTAAGTCGCGCTTTGGAAATCGGGAAGATCGCCAGAGGACGCGACCCAAAGGAGATCACAAGGAGCGCTTCGATCCCAAAAACAAAAGGAAAAGGGGAGTTAAGGAAAAGAAGAAACCTGAAGGAAGTACAAACAAAATTAGTGATAAATCAAAGAAAACTAAAGAAGTAAATAAGGCAACTGAAGAAATTAAGTCCGATCAAAAAGGGGAGCATCCCAACTTGAGCTTTACAGAAATGGCAAATTCCGTGGAACAGGATCAATGAAGGACTACCAGCACGTGAAGCCAAAGTTCAACAGAAGGACAATGCTTTGTTTGGCCTGCTTGGAATGTATGGATCAGATAGTGAAGAGGAAAGTGAAGCAGAGTGTGAGGATCAGGATCAGAATAAGGAAGAAAATGATATACCAGATGCACAAACTGAACCTCCCGAGCGCACGGAAGAGGGTTCTGGTCATGATGAACTGACACACAAGTTAGAGTCCAATGTTGCCATAGAAGTTTTAGGCGCTGTGGTTTGTCAAGACGATTCAAATAAGGAAGTGCACACATGTGACGACCCAGTACAAAATATCGAAAAGTCCCCCCTGGACGACACCTCCATAGAAGAGCGCTGTAATCCAGTATCTTCTTCCATCTTAGAATCACTTTCTGTTACCAGGGAAGATGCTGGCTCCTCTGACGAAGCTCCAGATGAAGAGCCCTTCCAGCGAACAACGGAAACCATAAGGGAAGCAACTCCTCCTAAGGCTGAACCAAAGGAGTGTAAGCCCAAAACTGCACCCAAACGAGCTGCTCCAAAGCGAATTTATGGCTTAAACTACAAGAAGGCTCGCAAGCAAACCCAGCAGAACACCATGTTATCCAAACTTCTGGAATCGGAAATTCGACATGAACGGAATGTTCTACTGCAGTGCGTGAGACACGTGTGCGAAAGGAATTTCTTTGGCATTGGAAAAACTAAAGAAAAAGAAATCCTAGTTTCAGCTTGCGATAAAGATGAAGAGAAGCTGGATCCTATTTGTGATAAATCCGTATATATATCACCGGATGCATTATAACTATAGATACTAAAATAAGTGAATAAAGTTTAGAGATTTAGCCCAAACTATTATGCGGATCGACTGGAAAATGTTTTATATTCAATTTAAAAAATGGAAACCTTTACCCTTATCCCTAGATTAGTTGGTGGACATGGAGGAGTCGCTGCCCATGGGATGATCTACTCCACCGGCGTTGCCGCCTCCTGCCGGTTGTTGCTGCTGTGCAGCCTGTTGCATCTGTTGTTGCTGCTGTTGTTGTTGCTGCTGCTGTTGTTGGGCCGCGGCATGTTCCTGTTGACGTTTTAGTTGCTGCCGGGCAGCATGTGAATGCTTGGCCTTCGTTTCTTCCAGTTCCCGAACCCTGGACCTGGCATGCTGTATGCGGTGCCAGGCCATTTGGAGCACCTTGGCGGACGCATAGCCGGAACCCTCGTGCGGCTGACCGGTCGACACCTGGGTCAAGTAGTTGATTTGCTCGGATAGCTTCGATTCCACGCTGGACAGGCTCTTGAGGAACTGCTGCGATTGAGTCTCGGCATTTTTCTGCGACGACTTTTCCTTGCCCAACTCCTGCAAGGCTTGTCCTGTAAAACACCTATGTCAGCCTTCTTTGGTGAGATTATCCTACTCACTCACCCGCACTCTGCATGCACAAGATTATCTCCTTTTCGATCTCATCCAGAGCGTGTATTTTGTCCAGCGGATTCATTTTCTTTCGCAGTTTTGCATGTAAACAAAGTAATTAGAGATGGTACAACTATCGATGCCAATATGCTACCGATGGTTCGGAGCCTTATAACAACGACATATTCGGTATTTTTGGGATTTTTCGTTAGGTATCGCATAGGTTATTCCGTTAGTGGCTGAGGCTGTTGAGTAAAATAAAATTATTGAAATCTAAAACCGGAAATCGTTTTTTCAACGTTTGTCCACGTCCAGTTTAAAAAATTAGAAATATCAAGTGCTTTACGGTTTGTCCACCCTTTAGAATTTAGAGTACAAAGAACACGTAGACAATCCATGAAAAAAAATTTTAAAAATTTAACTTTTTGAGTTTTTAAAATTGAGCGATTTAGAGAACAAGAATCAAATGAGTGATTCGTTGTGAAACGTATCGAGATTTTCTTTATGGTCTCAAAACGGTTTCATATTTTCATCACAATATTAACCATTTATATAGGATTTGCCGTTTTTTTGTTAAGTTTATGTATAACTTTAAATTACATGGTGTAAAAAAAAATATTCCTTATTATTTTTGCCAACCTGGCATTTTAAATTTTTATAAAAAATTACTGTAATGTTCGAATCCGTGTTAAACCCTAAAAATATTGTCGTGGGACCTCCTGATTTCCCCAGAATTAATTCAAACAGTTTATAATCAACAGGAAGATCGCTATAGTCGAGTACCTCGACTATCAGATACCCGTTACTCAGCTAAATAGAGATATGCAAGTAGCAAAGCGAGATTAAAAAGCGCCACCTACCGGCGGTATACAGATTTAAGCGTTATGGTGAGCGTGGCAAATTTTTTTTTGGACCAATCGATAGGTATTGACGAGACTAATACATTTCAGTTAAATTTGTTTATCTAGCATGAAAATTGTGGGCGTCACAGGCTTTCGCGGTTTGCGGGCGGTAAAGTGGGCGTGGCAAACTTTTTTTTGAACCAATCGATAGGTATTGGTATTGATGAGAACAATACATTTCAGTTAAAATTTTTTATCTAGCATGAAAATTGTGGGCGTCACAGATTTGTTTGTGGGCGTGGCAAACTTTTTTTTGGGTCAATCGATAGGTATTGATGAGAACAATACATTTCAGTTAAAATTTTCTATCTAGCATCAAAAGCCACGCCCACTTAAACGCCCACAAACCGCGAAAACCTGTGACGCCCACAATTTGCATGCTAGATAAAAAATTTTAACTGAAATGTATTGGTGTCGTCAATACCTATCGATTGATCCAAAAATAAATTTGCCACGCCCACTCTAACGCCCATAACGCTTAGATCTGTCTACCGCCGGTAGGTGGCGCATTTTAATCTCGCTTTGCTGCTTGCATATCTCCATTTCCCTTTGAGTAACGGGTATCTGATAGTCGAGGTACTCGACTATAGCGTTCTTCCTTGTTTTTAAGTTATTTTGTAACGAACTGTTTTCGACCGTTCTACGCACTACTTAAACGACGCGACTAGCTTTGAGATATTGTAGGTTCGTCCCACAAAAATTTATGTTGCGTAGCAGCACGGGACCCAAAAAAATGTAAGATATCCGATTGGGACAAATCGGAAATCTTTATTGCTTGTCTTGCGCTGGTAGAACTCATTTTTGTAGGATCATTGACAAATATTAAAATGAGATAAAATAAGAAAGTGGGCTACCATTAAAAAGTAAAATCCACGCCATCGTTTTTAATTGTGATTTCAAATTCTGATCAATAGAAAAATGAAATGAATTTTCAAAAACCGGTGCATCAATCCATTCAATAAATGAAATCATAAACGTTGGCATTGCAATGTTTCTTTTTTTTTTTTTTTTTTTTTGTAAAAGTATATATTTATTCAGGATTAACAGGTATACTGCTACCTATGTGGCAGCTTGAGCAGGTTGTAAATATAGGGGATAACAAAGTTTTGGTATACAAAATTATACATTAATTCTTTTCATTTGATATTTAGTTAGACTAGGTGTTAAATATATCTTAATGGAAGGTCATGTGGGTGGTTTCTTTTCAGTCTTCTTCTTGTTGGTCTCCAAATTAGCCTCTTCGCCAGGGAGTTAGGATGAGAGCCAAGGCGTCTGAAGTAGTTTTCAGCATGCGTACGACAAACATCGCCTATAAACGCAATGTTTCAAATGCACTAAGCGCTAAGATTCCCGCATTGTCTGGATCAAAAATCTGCGACTCGTGCAGAAAGTCAATTAGCAAATTAGCGCTTAGAATAAAAAAGAAACGTGGACATTCCAAGAAAAAAAATTAAAAAATTACACTTTTAGAGTTATTGAGATTGAGCGTTTTAGAGAATAAGAAACATATGTGTCACATGAGTTACTGAATGACTAAAACATTGGTGGATTCAATGCCAAAAAAAGAGAAAAAATGAAAATGTAAAAAAATGAGAATTCCAAATTGTTAAGACTGCAAAAAAAAAATAATATGGATCCAAATCCATTGATTCCACTGCTACTTTGTGTTTCCAGTGGACTTATTAAAAAAAATCGGTATATCCGTTACTCGTCGAGTAAAAGGGTATACCAGATTCGTCGGAAAGTTTGTAACAGATGGAAGGAAGCGTTTCCGACCCTATAAAGGATAAATATACTTGCTTAGGATCACTTACCGAGTACGTATGAACGCTGAGAACTCGGAAACTACAAAAGCCAATAAATTGGGATTTGGCATTTAGATTTTTGACCTTCTTGCGCAGCGAAAGTTAATTTCGACATTTATTTCGCTCATAACGCTTAAACCTGTCTAGTACTCAAATGTTATAATATTTTCTAAAAAACTAAATAAGACTTTATTTCTAAAAAAAATACCCGTTTGCATCCTAAAAATTATTAAAATCTGACCATGTGTAGTTACGGGAATTTGATAGTCAATGGCATCGACTATAGCTTTCTCTCTTGTTAGTTCTTAAAATATCTGTCGTTGCGGAAGTCCATTGAACTGTTTGTTTCAGCGAATCTGATTGAATATTTAAATGCAATTTTATGCTCTCCGTAGTGTCACTGTAAAATAGATAAGGATTGACTTGCAAACAGTTTTTTAAATTTGGCTTTGAACTTTATCGCTTGAGACATTTTTTTAGCGTTTTGGCAAGGGGTTTTTTTTTGCCCTTGGATGTAAATGTGGCATTGAGTTTACAAATTTTTCACATATTAACGTTCCTTCTCTACCTCTACCTCTACTTTTCGACGAATCTAGTATACCCTTTTACTCTACCAGTAACTGGTATAATTAATAAAATTATATACAAATTACGTTTCTATGTGAAGAATCCATCTACTTAGAAACTAATATTTATAAAAAATTATATATCAATATTTTTTAAATAACAAATTTCTGGTGGAAATGTCCATCAACAATATTTATTTATTATATATATATTATGCCTAAATAATAGTTGCAAAGCTGGCCTGGAAGTCTGTGCGGGACACCTTAAATTACCACAACAAGGCTAAGAAGTAGTCTCTTTTATCTTACAGCTAAATTCAACATATTATGCAGTGCGTTTGCTTCTTGCTGAAATTTAGGCTTCAGTTCCTTCGTCTTCGCGCGCTCTTTTAGTCCAAGATCGAATTTTTTTCTTAAATTTCGCTATGATCCAGATAATGATTCTTGTGGCTGGGTCCGTCATTACGGCTGTTTTCCATCTTTACATTAATCTGCCGTCGCAAGAGAACAAGAGCCGCGAATTCAACCGAATAATCGACGTTGTCCTGTAGCAGCAGATTGAGGAGTTGATTGAAGCTAGCTGAGAGGTCGAGGAGCTGGAGGTCAGTGGAAATAATCTGATTGCACACTACCGGGTCGAAGTGATTGACCAGTTCAAGATGCCATTTCCAATCTATTTCAAGATAGAATCCTGGAAGTAGTAATAAGAGTGCTAGTCTGTCTCAATTGGCGTTTCCGAATATATCAGGAATGGCTGGAAAGTGAAGCTTGGAGTCGCATCTCTGACATGGTGTTGCTTCCAACCCAGGATCCGACCTCTTAGGTAGCATCCGCCCATCCAGCTGTTTACATCGCATATTGAATATGAAATATGTCGATTCCACTGATTTCCACTGCTACTTAGTGTTTCCAGTGGACTTATTAAAAAAAATCGGTATGCCGAATTGGAGTAACTAATGAAAGCAGAATATAAGAACACGAATTGATAGCAACCAAGGCCTACAATTTTTAGGAAAAAATTAAAATGCAAAAGAGAGTGTGAAGTAAGGATACTAAAGGGGCAAGAATAGTTTGTGGATTTAGCGACTAGCGGCTCGTTTAAAATGCGAGCCGTTTTTAACAGATACGTCGACATAGCTGAGATCAAATGGTTGAGGCCTTTCACCATTATTTCCGATGAAAAATGCAGATGAAGAACCGGTCAAAAAAACTAGATGGAAGGTCGGTCGGATCCCATTATCCATCAAGCGCACGGAGGACTCCACACCGTGCCAGGTGTGTAACGAAGACAACTCGATCGAAGTGTTCTCGCTGAGAAAACCTAGAAGGAAGGCAGCCCCAACAATTTACTGTCTTGAATTTCAGGAATCCACCGATACGGACAACGAAAAGGAATAGGCTTAATCTGTAGCACTGAAATTGGTTTGCAATGTGGAGTATGCTTTTATTAGATAAACCACAATAAAAAAACGATATACCACCACCGGAAGTCCACCAAAATCTTTAGCCCATGTGGAGCAGCTTTCCACACCAAAAAAATTGATGCATCCCACCTAAAAGCACAGCCTCATGTTCGCTATGTAAGGGGTAAATAATACAACATGTAACTTTTAATTTTTTAAAACTCTGGAAGATCAACAGGACGAAAATAAAACAAGAAATCTCCGGTAAACGAATTCTTTTCATTAAAAAAAAATGTTTAAATTAAGTTGTATTAGAGTACCGATTTCTAGAACTTCAATTTAATTAACTTTATAAAGTGCGGACTGATTCCAAAATGAAGTGATTTGTCTGTTTACTTGCATATGTACATTTAAACAAGGTTATCAAAGTACTTGTACATGTGCGTTCTGCTCTACGTGTACTGGTTTTAT